CATCTCACCACAAATATTCTGTTGTAAAGATATGACTTCAAGAGTTTGTGCGTGTTATTAGGGAGCATTATTTTGATTTTATGCATTAGGCCGTCAAGCCATACTCTGTCGAATGCTTGGGAGACGTCCAAAAATACCGCAGTGCAGTATTCCCTATTTTCAAATGCACTTCGAATTTCTGAAGTTATGCGGTTCACCTGTTCGATAGTTCCATGTTTTTCGCGAAAGCCGAATTGATGTGCTGGGATAATATTATGTCTTCTGAAGTATGGTATGATACGGGTCAGAAGGCATTTTTCAAAGAGTTTTGATAGACAGGAAAGTAAACTAATCGGTCTGTATGAGGAGGCGAGGGTGTGGTCTTTTCCTGGTTTTGGTATCATTATGATGATTGACTTTTTCCACCTCTTTGGGAAGCAGCCCAGTCTTGTCATCGCGTTGAACAGCTGGCATATGGTACCAACGGCGCATAGTGGGAGTTCTATAAGCATTTTTGGAGTTATTAGATCGCAGCCTGGAGATTTTCTCGGTTGTAGCTGCTCTTTTATAATTTTTATGACTTCGCATGGTCGAAATACAATTGGTTCGGCAATAGGAAGGTCGTCTTCAGTTTGCGATCTTATATTACGCACGTTTGTTACTGGATTTGGCTGGAACACATTTTCAAGGTGGGCAGCGAATGTGTCGGCTCTGTCTTTGTCGCTTCTGGCCCAGCAGCCTGCAGGAGTCCTTATTGGCGTAACCGTTACTGTTGGAGGGCTCAGTGTTGAGTGGGCTTTCCATAGTGGGAATTTTGAGCTGAATGGAGATAGTTGTTCTATATAGCGATGTTGGGACCTGTCTTCTTCTTGTCGTAGTGCCTTGGTGAGTCTGCGTGAAGCTTCTTTTAACTGTTGCTTTGCAGATGGCGATCGAAGAGATTGCCATACACGTCGGGAACGACGCTTTGCTAGGACTAGCTGCTCTATTTCTGCGTTTGTATGCTTTATGTTATGTGTTGTGTTTTGCCTTGGTGGTGTTGCGATTCGTGCCGCTGAGGCCAAAACTGACTCTAGCATGCATACGGTTCTGTTGATGTCGTCCTCGCCGGTTAGCTGTGGTGTAAGTTCGATGTGCGAACTTACGTATTTTTGAATTTGAGCCAGTCTGTGCTTCTAGAAGTTAGCATGACGGGGCTGTCATTACTAACTGGCTGTTGGTTTAGGATAAAAAGTACAGGCGAGTGATCTGATGATAGATCCGAGAGAGAACTGGCGCTAATTAGATTTCGTGGGATGTTTTTTGTAACTGCGAAGTCTATCAAGTCTGGCAGTTTTCTGGGGTCGCTAGGCCAGTGTGTAGGTGATCCAGGGGAAACGCAGTCAAGTTTGTTGCTAGGATTTATAATTGCATAATACAGTTGTCTACCTTTCGGCGTCACGAGGCGAGATCCCCAGTGCGTATGCTTGGCGTTGTAGTCTCCTGCTGCTATGAAGTATTTGCCTAGTGAGTTGAAGTAGTCAGTAAACTGGGCTTCGGATATCATGAATCGAGGAGGACAGTATACCGCTGCTAGAGCTAGATTGTGACAACCCAACTGTATATTGATAGATGTGGCTTGCAGGTAGTTAGTAGCAAACGTGTTGTGAAAGTGGTGCTTGATGCGGTTTTTAATCAGGACTGCAGTGCCTCCGTGGGCCTTTCCATCAGGATGATTGGTGTTGTAAAACATATACCCACGGATTTGGAAATTATATTTGTTGGTAAGGTGGGTTTCTGCAAGTAACATTACGTCGATTTCATTGTCGTTCATAAATTGTGCTAGCTCAAGTTTGTGCCGTGAAACACCGTTGGCATTCCACAGTGCAATGCGCAGGGGAGCCATTGATTATTTTGATAAAGTGTTTTGGAGCATCTGAATCAAAATATTCTGATTTGTCAACATACTTTGCATGGTCGTCCGCATAAATGAAATGAATTCATCCATACTTTGTTGCAAACTGAGCATCATCGTTTCCATTCTATTTTCTGTGTGCTCTGCTAGTTGGTGAGAGACTGTAGGTGGTGGTTGGACATTGTAAGCGGGGCTCGCATGACCCGATTTTAAAACGCTTGCAAAACTTACGTTTTTATTTGTAGTGGAACTGCCGAGTGATGATCGGGCTGCTGACGAAAAGAAGACTTCAGGTGTGAGTTTAGAGGGTATCAATGGTGTGTGGTGAGATCGTGCTGTTGAGACTCTTTGGTTTATCCGACTTTTTAACTCCTTGTATACTGGACAGCCTCTGTAGTTTGCTGTGTGGTCTCCTCCGCAGTTACTACACTTTTTGCTATTTGGCTCATTTTTTAATTCACACTTAGCTGAGGTATGCAGCCCTCCGCAGGCGACGCATACAGAGCGGAGTGTGCAGTAAGATTTGGTGTGTCCGTATTCCTGGCAATTTGCGCACTGGACTGGGCCATTGCGTTTATGCGGCTCTTCAACCGTGATTCTGCGATGCATTAGAAACTGGAGATTGTAGATGGGATGGACTTCATTTTTCTTAAGCGCCTTAGAGTCAGGTGCAAGTTCCACTTTAAAGAGAGGTTGCGGTTGTTTATTTCGGTTACGTATGTTTATAACTGTTTTTACGTTAAAACCTTTGTCTTTTAGTGCCTGCTCGACTTCAGCAGTGCTTACGTCTGGTTCTATTCCTTTTATAACAACTTGTTGACCTTTACTACTTTTTAGCTGGTAGGTGTCGTAGTTCTTTTTCTTGGCATCTAGGAGCTCCGTCAGTTTTTTAAAGCTTTCTTCGCTTTTGACTTGGACCTTTGTTTCATGTATTTCTCCTTTAGTCAAGGGGAGTCATCCAATCTCACGAATTCAGTGACGACATAGGCAAAATTCGGAAAAAGAAACCGGTATCAACGCAAATTCAAAAGCTAAATTCCTTTGTGCAGGAAAATAAATCAGATTGGTGCTCTTCGACATTATTGCGAGTTGGTGGTCGGTTATTGAATGCTCCGATCCCGTACGAAGCCAAATTTCCGTTGTTGCTAACAAAAAGCTCACAGTTTGTTAAAACCTACGTGTCGTATCTGCACGTTACAAATTGTCACGCTGGTCCTCGAGCTCTTGTGAGTCTCCTGCGAGAGAAAGTCTGGTTTGTCAATGCTCAAGACATATGTCGCCGAACAGTTCGTTCGTGCATGCGCTGCTTTCGATGCAAGCCGCAGCTCTTGACGCAAATTATGGGGAACTTGCCATCAGACAGACTCCGAGCTCTCCGCCCTTTTAATATCTGTGGCGTCGATTTTTGTGGGCCATTTAGCACAACGTATCGCATCCGTGGTAAACCACCGTACAAGTGATATGTGGCCTTGTTTGTGTGTTTTGCGTCCAAAGCGGTCCACTTAGAGTTAGTGTCTGACCTTACCACTGTTTTATGTATGACATGTTGCTTTATTGGTAGATCACTTAAGACTAATTATAATGTGTGTATCTATATCTAGGTATGGTGTTGCCAACTTATTTGCATGGTTTGTGTTGCCATATTGTTACATGCTTTCTTTTTTTCATTTTTTTTTTTTTTTAAGTATAAAGTAAACATTTTTTAAATTCTTAATTTCAACATTTCAGTTCAAATAATTAATTTTACAAATTAAATGTTGTTCTCTTTCCTTCATTTTTTTTATTTTTTATTTTTTTTTTTTTTTATTTCACAACTAAAAAATCATTTTTCATATCCGTACCTGTTTGGGGGAACAACAGTTCTTCCACTTTTTGTTTTCTTAGGTGTACTACTTTTAACATGAGTTTCCTCTAGGACTAATGATTCATTAGGATTCTCAATTGCTTCAGAATATATACTTTCTTCACTTGTTTGACTAATATTCTCACTTTCTTCTAAAGTATCATTTTTTTCATTATCCTCAATATCATTTTCTGAGCTTCTATTATTAAATTCAACAAAGGTATCTTGATCAGTATAATTAGATGTATTAGTTTCTCTGAGCGTTTCCGTAATCTCTGTTTCTTTAAGTACGTTTAGATTATTAAAAAATTCCTTGGAAATATTATCAAATATACAACTAGAAGGAGCGACTTCATTAACATTTTCTTTTTTATTTAAATTATTTTTGTTTGTATTTTCAAACATTTTTACAATATATTTTCTGTTTCTTCTAAAATGCTTTCCAGAGGGCTCTCTAATAATATAAGATCTATCATTATGGCGTTTAGTTACGATTCCATAGCACCATTCTTTTGAGTTTTTCTTAAATTTGACTTCATCATTTATTTGTAATATTGGTAATGTTTTTGCATTTTTATCAAAATAAATTTTCTGTTTTTCTTGTTTAACAACTAACTTCTCTTGTATTTGCGATTCCGGTATATTATTTCTATGCAGTATCGAGTTACAAATAGGTAATCGTGTTTTGATTTGACGTCCCAAAAATAATTCCGCCGGGGCTACACCCAAACCTGCAACAGGAATTGTATTATACTCTAATATTCTATATTTAAAATTTTCAACGTCATTGGATTCATAGCACCGCTTAAGAATGTTTTTTATAATAGCAACTCCCTTTTCTGCTAAACCATTACTCTGAGGATATCGGGGGCTTGAAAACTGTATTTCTATATTCGATTTCTTTGCGTACTCCATAAATTTATACGAGTTAAACGGATTATTATCACATCGTATAGTTGTTGGAATACCAAAATGATTAAAAATATTATCAAGAGCTCGACATACTGTTGGGATGGATTTATTTTGAATATTTTCGGTTAATATGAAATTTGAATACGAATCTATAAGGCCCAAATAGAATTTCCCTGCATATTCATATATATCCATGCCCACGCATTCAAAGGGGTATTGGGGTGGCTCTGATTGCCTTAATGGTTCTTTTTGATTGTTCCTGGTAAACTTTTCGCAAACTGTACATCCTTTAACCAATTCTGTTAGGTCTGTTGTCATCCCTGGCCAAAAAAACTGTTGCCTGCCACGCGCAATTGTTTTTTCAATTCCTACATGAGGTCCATGCAAAAGTTTGGCTATGATTGGCTGCAAGGACGATGGTACTACCAGTTTGTGATTTTTGAACAATAATCCATTTTCATAATGCATTTCATCTTTAAATTTATGAAATATCTGGCTTCTTTCGTCTAACTTATGATACACAGGCCAACCATTTTCGACATACTGAACAATTCGGCTAAGGAACTGATCTTCTTTAAGCTTTTTTTGATATATTTCCCAGTTCTCTTTACATTGACAAGCATTCCGAGTTATACTGTGAATCATAATTGACAAATCCTCAGCTGTTAAACTAACTTCAGCTGACTCCAATGGTGCTCTTGAAAGACAATCTGCCACCAGTTGTTCCTTCCCAGGCTTATAAACAATATTGATGCCCGTATAACGCAAAAGAAAAACAAACATCCTCTGCAATCGTGGGGTTACGTCATCAATATCTTTCTTTGCTAATTCTTCTAATGGCTTATGATCAGAGTGAACAGTGAATTGTCTTCCATAGAGGAAAAAATGAAATTTTTCACAAGCAAACACTATTGCTAAAAGTTCCTTTTCTATGGGAGCCCACTTTTGCTCACTAGCTGACAATGTGCGAGAAGCAAATGCCACTGGTAAGTTGTCCTGAAGTAATACACACCCCAAGCCATCTTTGGATGCATCAGTCTGAACTACTACCGCTTTTTTCTCATCAAACATTACTAAAACTGGGGAGGTTGTTATGGTTTTGAGAAGACTCTGAAATTCTTGCTCATGTTTTTCAGTCCATATAAAAGGTATTTCATTTTTTGTTAATTCTCTCAAATAAGCAGTTCGCTTTGACAGATTTGGAATAAACTTTCCCAAATATTTAAACATCCCCAGTAGCCTTAGCACATCAGACTTCTCCTTTGGTCTTGAAATACGTAAAATAGCATCCAAATAAGACTGATTTGGCTTAACAGAGTTTTTTGAAATCAGATGACCCATGAATATTACACTATCCTTACGATATTGGATCTTCTCAGCGTTAAAAGTAATCTGACTTTTTCTTGCTCTCTCTAAGACAGTTTTTAATGCTTTGTCATGGTCATGAAGTGTTTTCCCATATATAACCAAGTCATCGAAATAAACATCTACTCCTTCTATATCCCCGAATACACGTACCATCTGTCTTTGAAACATTTCTGGAGCTGAACTAATACCAAAAGGTACCCTATTCCACCTAAATCTACCGAATGGGGTCATAAATGTTGTCAATTTTGAGCTTTCCTCGTCAAGCTCCATTTGCCAAAATCCGTTTCTTAAATCCAGTACCGTAAAAACGTTCATTCCTGATAGTCTGCACAGCAAGTCTTCCGACTTGGGTATCAAGAAGTGTTCTCTCTTTATGCATTCATTCAGTGCTCTTGGGTCTAGACAAATTCTAAGAGCTCCATTTGGCTTTTCTACTAACTGTATGTTGTTTACCCAATCCGTAGGTGTTTCCACTCTCGTTATTACCCTTTGGTCCAACATTCTGTTAAGTTCTTCCTTTAATCTATTATGCACACTAAGAGGAATTCTTTTTTTATAATGAAGTTTGGGTTCTGAGCCTTCTTTAAGTACTATGTGAAATTTTTCTGGAAACTTTCCAACTCCCTGAAACAGGTCTTTAAACATATCAAGAAATTCTTTTCCTTCCATTGGCAAGTTAATTTGGTTGCTCAAATTCTGAATACGTTTTATGAGTCCAAATGACACACACGATTCTAGCCCAAGAATCGGCTCAAAAGAGTCATCTACCACAAAAAATGTTGCTTTATTACTTTGGTTTGTTGATTTGTCTATACATTCCAAAACAACTGTGCCATGAATCCTGACTTGATTTGAACTATAGTCTACAACTTTAAAATTAGAGTTATGTTTTACAGGGACTTTGAGCTTTTTAACGACAGTCACTGGTATACAATTAACTTCAGCTCCAGTGTCTAACTTAAATGTTATTATACTGTTTCTTATTTGATAAGACTTTGTCCACCGACTATTAATAGTGTTAATATTTGCAGTTAATGCTTTACAAAAAACTACTTTATTTTTGTTTACATTTTCGTTTTTGTAACTCACATTTTCCACCTCTGCATGTTTAACTTCCTGAACTTTTACTTCCGAACGACTTCCAATTAGATTCTTCTTGGACTTACAGAACTTCTTAAAATGCCCGATGCGTCCGCAGTTATAGCATTTAATGTTTTTCGCTGGGCAGCTTGCATTATGATTAATGCTATAAGATTGTCCACAATTAAAGCAACTTCTCTTTGTTAGATTTGCCAGTTCAGTTTTGGTTGCTGCGACTTCGACTACTTGTTGTTTATTGTCCAATAAGCATTTGTTATTTGCAGTAGACTCAAATGCTTTGCACATTTCAATTACCCTAGTTAAAGACTCATCAGCACCATCCAGAAGCTTCAACTGCAAATTTTTATCGTTGACTCCAACGACGATTTTGTCTCGTAGAATTCTTTGACCATATGATGTGTGACAATTAGAGCACGTATAGTCACAGTACTGTATCTGTGTACGTAGAGCTGTCTCAAATTCCGTGAATGGCTGATTTTCCTTCTGTACCAAGTTGTTCAGCTTGAACGATTCCATTGCCAAATTTCTCTTTGGAAGACAGTGCCTGTCATAAGCGGACAGAACTGTAATAAGTGACAAGGTTCCTTCAGTTGTGGAACTTTCTGTGACAGAGTTCCCACGCATAACAGCAACACCCGCAGTAACTGCAGCAGCAGCAATATTCGAAGTGGAGGCACCCGTGGCAGCAGCATCCGTGTCAGCAGCATCCGTGTCAGCAGCAGGGGATGGGGTTGCAGCCACAGCTATATTTACAGCGGCACTTTCAAAACAATTGTATGTCGGGAACAGAGTGTTAAAAATTTCTAGTCCTTGTTCACCAATCAGCCATAAAAACGTTGCGATTTTCTCCGGCTCACTCTCTTTGTGTTTCTTTGAGGCAAGCAAATACAGTTGAAATTGTTGTTTCCACTTTGGCCATTCCTTGGCAAGATTACTCGCATCCAATACGTGTGGTATTTTTGACTCCATCTTGATCTTTTTTCGAGATTACTGATTGCTATTGACTAATATTGTGAAATACTGTGTGCAATATCGATAGTTGCTAATATCGATACTCAATCATGGCACACTTTGTCTTTATCACCGCTAGTCCACTTTTTCCTTTCAGCAATCAATCCAATTATGCATTTGTTTGTATAAGTCTATGGTTCGCTTATGAGATTTCCAGCATCCAAGCATCAACAATCCGTTGGCAAACATGTACAAGAGAATTTTTTATGATTTCAAGAAGGGTTCACAACTTCTGACACCATGTTTTATGTATGACATGTTGCTTTATTGGTAGATCACTTAAGACTAATTATAATGTGTGTATCTATATCTAGGTATGGTGTTGCCAACTTATTTGCATGGTTTGTGTTGCCATATTGTTACAACCACTGATGCATTTTTATTGGCGTTTTAAAGGTTCGTGAGTCGTCGCGGGATTCCGGAAAAAGTGTGGTGCGACAACGCGACCAACATCGTCGGCGCGGATCGGCATCTGAGAGAGTTCCGGGCCCGTCTGGAGGAGCAGGGGGGCGGTATCGAAGCATTCGCGTCAAAAAAAGAATGCGAGTTTGCGTACATACCGCCCAGAGCACCTCACTTCGGCGGTCTGTGGGAAGCAGGTGTGAAGTCTGCAAAGCACCTGTTCCTTCGGACGGTCGGTCACGACCTCTTGACCGCGGAGGTGCTCGGAACTCTCCTCGCCAGCGTGGAGGCAGTTCTAAATTCGAGGCCCATCGGAGCGTTAAGCAGCGACCCCAGCGACGGCGAAGCCCTCACCCCCGGACATCTCCTGATCGGCGGCCCGCTAGTCGCACCACCACCGTCGGCACTCCCGGACCAGATCAGCCCGACCTGCTTGCGAAGATGGCGCAGTGTCTCGTCGCTCAGGCACAGGTTCTGGCAGCGATGGTCCCGGGAGTACGTCTCCAGCCTGCAGACGAGGCAAAAGTGAAACCAGGAGGTCCAAAACGTCGTCGTGGGAGCTCTCGTCGTCGTCGGCGAGGACAACCCGCCGCCCCAGCAGTGGAGGATCGGGCGCGTAGTGGAGTGGCACGTCGGCGCTGACGGAAAGGTCCGAGTGGCGGACGTCAAGACGGCAGACGGGGTTTTCAGGCGAGCCATCCATCGGCTGGCTCTTCTTTCGATGTTGTCCTGAAGGACGTCGTCCCTTCAGAGGGGGCGGTGTTTGGAGATTTCTCTCTGTAACGTCAATGTAAAGCGGGGATCGGGGCTTAATAAAGGTTTCTCACTCAGGCGAATTCGGCCGCCGATCTCCCGCTCAGTACTTTAGGTTAGCATGTAAGAGAATTTTATGAAATTAAAGTTAGTTGAAATTTGAACTCCCTATCGTACGCACTAAATAAAACGTCTCTGAAAGAATTAACCACTGCAATCGCAAAAGTTTTCGTTATTCGGCAATAAAAACGCTTATTGTTTTTTCACATAAATCTGCAAATAGATTTGAACTTTTGGGCTGACACGTCCGATGAAATCCCTTCTACAGTCTTGGATACGGACAAAAAGAGGCCTCGGTTCCTCGGTTTTTCTCCGCTTTACATTCGAGAAAAAAACTCCAACAACCTCGTTAATATAATAATCAATTTGATTGGTAAAGAAAGCTTCCACGTAATCCCCTTGACTAAAGGAGACAAACATGAAACAAAGGTCCTAGTCAAAAGCAAAGAAAGCTTTAGAAAACTGACGGAGCTCCTAGACGCCAAGAAAAAGAACTACTATACCTAACAGCTAAAAAGTTGTAAGGGTCAACAAGTTGTTATAAAAGGAATCGAACCAGACGTAAGCACTGCTGAAGTCGGACACACCAAATCTTACTGCACACTCCGCTCTGTATGCGTCGCCTGCGGAGGGCTGCATACCTCTGCTAAGTGTGAATTATAAACTGAGCCAAATAGCAAAAAGTGTAGTAACTGCGGAGGAGACCACACAGCAAACTACAGAGGCTGTCCACTATACAAGGAGTTAAAAAGTCGGATAAACCAAAGAGTGTCAACAGCACGGTCTCACCACACACCATTGATACCCTCTAAACTCACACCTGAAGTCTTCTTTTCGTCAGCAGCCCGATCATCACTCGACAGTTCCACTATAAATAAAAACGTAAGTTTTGCAAGCGTTTTAAAATCGGGTCATGTGAGCCCCGCTTACAATGTCCAACCACCACCTACAGTCTCTCACCAACCAGCAGAGCCCACAGAAAATAGAATGGAAACGATGATACTCCGTTTGCAACAAAGTATGGATGAATTCATTTCATTTATGCGAACGACCATGCAAAGTATGTTGACAAATCAGAATATTTTGATTCAGATGCTCCAAAACACCTTATCGAAATAATCAATGGCTCCCCTGCGCATTGCACTGTAGAATGCCAACGGTGTTTCACGGCACAAACTTGAGCTAGCACAATTTATGAATGACAATGAAATTGACGTAATGTTACTTGCAGAAACCCACCTTACCAACAAATACAATTTCCAAATCCGAGGGTATATGTTTTACAACACGAATCATCCTGATGGAAAGGCCCACGGAGGCACAGGAGTCCTGATTAAAAACCACATCAAGCACCACCCAACCTCTAAAAGCACAAACTGGCTCAAATTAAAAAAATACGTAAGTTTGCACATCGAACCACAGCTAACCGGCGAAGATGACATCAACAGAACCGTAAGCATGCTAGAGTCAGTCTTGGCTTCAGCGGCTCGAGTCGCAACACCACCAAGGCAAAACACAACACATAACATAAAGCATTCAAATGCAGAAGTAGAGCAGCTAGTCCTAGCAAAGCGTCGTTCCCGGCGCGTATGGCAATCTCTTCGATCGCCATCTGCAAAGCAACAGCTAAAAGAAGCTTCACGCAGACTCACCAAGGCACTTCGACAAGAAGAAGGCAGATCCCAACATCGCTATATAGAACCACTATCTCCATTCAGCTCAAAATTCCCACTATTGAAAGCCCACTCAACACTGAGCCCTCCAACAGTAACGGTTACGCCAATAAGGACCCCTGCAGGCTGCTGGGCCCGACCACCTTAAAAATGTGTACCAGCCAAATCCAACAAAAAAACGTGCGTAATATAAGATCGCAAACTGAAGACGACTTTCCTATTGCTGAACCAATTGTATTTCGACCATGCGAAGTCATAAAAATTTTAAAAGAACAGCTACAACCGAGAAAATCTGCAGGCTGCGATCTAACAACTCAAAAAATGCTTATAGAACTCCCACTATGAGCTGTACCCTATGCCATATATACAATATGCCAGCTGTTCAACGCGATGACAAGACTGGGCTGCTTCCCAAAGAGGTGGAAAAAGTCAATCATCATAATGACACCAAAACCAGAAAAAGACCACACCCTCGCCTCCTCATACAAACCGCTAAGTTTACTCTCGTGTCTATCAAAACTCTTTGAAAAATGCCTTCTAACCCGTATCATACCATACTTCAGAAGACATACTATTGTCCCAGCATATCAATTCGGCTTTCGCGAAAAACATGGAACTATCGAACAGGTGAACCGCATAACTTCAGAAATTCGAAGTGTATTTGAAAATAGGGAATACTGCACTGCGGTATTTTTAGAGTATGGCTTGACGGCCTAATGTATTAAATCAAAATAATGCTCCCTAATAACACGCATAAACTCTTGAAGTCATATCTCTACAACAGGATATTTGTGGTGAGATGCAATACTTCCATGTCAGCTGAACGTAACATCGAAGCAGGAGTTCCTCAAGGTAGCGTTCTCGGGCCAACTTTATACCTACTCTACACTTCTGATATTCCTACGAGCAGACAACTGACTATGTCTACGTTTGCCGACGACACCGCGGTTCTCAGCCGATCTAGATGTCCACAACAAGCCTCAGCGCAACTTGCGGCCCATCTGGATGTAGTGGAGAAATGGCTCTCAGACTGGCGTATAAAAGTAAATGAGCAAAAATGTAAAGAAGTAACATTTACCTTAAATAGACGAAACTGCCCAAACCTTACACTAAACAACACCGTGCTTCCCCAGTCAGATGATGTAACATATCTTGGCGTACATCTCGACAGACGGCTTACCTGGCGCACGCATATTGAAGCTAAACGAACTCACCTAAGGCTGAAGGCAAATAGTTTGCATTGGCTTATAAACTCCCGCTCCCCACTCAGTCTGGACTACAAGGTCCTCCTCTACAATACGGGTTTGAAACCAATCTGGACATATGGCTCCCAGTTGTGGGACAGCGCCAGCAACAGCAACGTAGAAATCGTGCAGAGAGCCCAAACAAAGATCCTAAGATTTATCAACGGGGCACCGTGGTACGTTTGGAGTGTAAATATTCAGAGAGACTTGAGTGTACTCCCCGTCAGAGATGTAGTAGCGCAGCACATGGAAAATTACTACACAAACCTGTCAACCCATCCAAACCACCTCGCTAGAGCATTGACGTTGGTATGTAGCCGCTCCCGTCGTAACGACCGTCCCATCCAGCGACAACTATTAGGACAGTCTAACATAAATACAGTTTAACAAATTGTTAGAATAATGTAGTACTTTAAGATTTTAACACATTTTGTTGGTCTCGTAAGAGAAGATTCAAAATAAAAAACCAAAGTCTAAAAAGTTCTAATTAAGCCGTCTCTAGAGGGAAAATTAGTTACATTTTGTGAGGCCTCCGATACTTGTAAGGTTTTTTCTCAAGCCATTATTTGTAGTTGATGAACGGGAATATGTTGAACAACTGGAGGTACTGTAACCTGGCATTCATCCCAAATAATGACTTCCGTGTAATCATCGGCACGAAAATTTAGATTAGGTGACTTGAACTTCCTATATTTATCTTTACTATCTGCTTCTTTGGACTTTATTATTTACTCGAATATAGTCTCTTTCGTCAAACAACATTGCGATCAGTATATTTTCTGGACAATAGTTCGACGATTCTCTGGTAAAAATCGAGAGTACTGAATGAGTTGAAAAACATGTTTGAACACGTACTTTAATGAGCTTGTTTGCTTGACTTGGAAAAATTGGTGCGTATACTTTAAGCACGTATTTTACGAGGTGTTGCAAGCTTTCTGATGGGCTAAGAGTACTAACATAAAGTCTAACTATAAGATTAGCAGTTGTAACCCACCTTGAGTGTGACATTTTTAAACTGTTTTATTTAGCTCACATGTTTGGGTCAAAATAAGAAATTGAAATTTAAGTACCTTCCTGTTGTCAGATTGATCTGAAATTTGGTACACACCTTCAGTTCCGATGACAATACAATATAGTAATATCAATAACATTGTAAACCAAGATGGCGGCCGCGCAATGGCGGATAACGTAGGTTCTATCAATCCCATCAATATGGGTATCAAATGAAAGGTCTCAACAACATGGGTATCATTGTCACTGTCAAACACATCAGATCAATTCAGATCAATCTGACAACAAACGGGGTAAGCTAAATAATAATAATAATTATGAAAGAAACTGCAACACAGCGTAAACGAAGGCTTCAAAAAGCGAACGAAAATTATGAAGCAAAACGAGCTAAAGAAAGTGAAGGTGATAGAAACGGTCGATTACAGAAACGACGGGAACAATTAGCGTCAAAAACACATGAGCAACATGAGGCCAGTAGAATACAACGTACTATATAAAATTAAAATCCAAGATGGCGGCCTCTACAAAACGGCGGATAACTTAGGTTTTATCAATCCCATCAACATGGGTATAAAATGAAAGGGGTCAACAAGTAGAATACAATTTACTATGCAAAATTGAACCGCCGCTACCAAATGGTTTTTAGTAATAAAATAAAAATAGGTAAAAAAAACTTTTTAAGTTAAACTGTTTTATGTAAAACATATATTGCAATGTACGGCGCGTGAATTCTCTACAATCGTTGATTAAAATGTTTGTTTGCCCCACGGTTTTATTTTAGTCTAGTCTATGCATATGTTTATAATTCCCACGTCTGTATCTATTTTATATTATTTTTTGGTTTTTAGTACATTTATCTTTACATAAAACAGTTTAACTTAAAAAGTTTTTTTTACCTATTTTTACTGGATTGACGACAAGCTAGCTCGAGCAGGCAGTAGCCAGATGGCACAGCTTGACATATTTCGAAGAGATATTTTTGATTCGTACTAAGTTCATTGACCACATTTGATGCAAGTCAGGCAAATTACCAGGCACTGCACAAAAATACACCGTATTTTTAGTTTCGCAATCCACCAGTTGTTTTCCAATTGATCCGGAGCATTCTTTAGGACCCGAAGTGCAACCATCTAAAGCCATAAATAAATGTTGAAGGGGTTACTCATTGCAATGAAGCATAGAAACGCACCATTTTAATGGTCTGTCTAAATATTGAATCACGTCATCTTTCCAACCAGTGTTAGTTGCTCTTCCATCGCATCCTACACAAATCACTTCATCTAAAATCTGACCATCACTCTCCAATAATGTTGTAATAACACGTTTTGGTGTTGCGTGGCCCAAAAATGCTGAATGCGTGGCCTAAAAATCCTGACTCTGCAAAGTTGAGATACGCTCTTCTAAAACTTCTTTACGATGAAAACGGCTTCCTATTTTTTCATTCACGAGAGTCTTGTATTTTCATCCATCAAAGTAAATGCCTCTTATGATAATGTTTTCAGCGGTTTTTTGAGGCTGCTGACCGTGCATAAGATACAGCGTATTCCGATTTGCTGTGGAAGCTACTGTAGTCTCAGTTGAAGGCGAGGATGTATCTTTTTTGTTTTAAAGTTCCTTGTGGTTTTTCTGTCAATCTTTATCAGAAATTGAAGCAGAATCTTCACTTGAACCAGAATCTTCTTTTGTAGTTTTACAATAATTCTTCGCTATGGCCTTGCATTTTCTTTAATTTTGCTGTTTCTATCCTGTCAACACCGCCAATTAGCATTTTCTTATCATTTCTTTGATCAAAAAAAAAAAAACTTCTTTTATTGATAAGAACTTTGTTAGGCTTTAAACAAAAATAGCGTTCAAATGATGCGCATTTACAAACGGCAACGTCGAAAAGTGTCTCAATCAAGATTTTAGTAAATGAACAACTCGTTCCTTGATTACGATTGGAATGGAAGCCTTAATCCAAATTTTGTCAATCTGTTTAAAAACAATCGCATATAGGTATATATGAATTGGATGGATTCTTTCCTTCACCCTTAATTTTCAATACATTTATAACAAATAAAATAAACTTTATGACTTCTTTTATAGTTGGCAGCTGTCGATCTGAAATTCCTCTGAAATTAGGATCCACTATAGAACAAATCGTCTCACTACGCCTTGAGTTCATGTTAATATTAGTATTAAAAAACAAATTACAAAATTTGAAGTAAAATGTTTTAATATTTTTTAGTGATGATAATAAAATCATAAAATAAAATTATGTAATTAAAGTTTAATAAGTTTCCGTCATTTCTGATTCATCCGATGGGCGACCACTCTCACAGGAGACAAGACAAGAAATGAATTTATCGTCCGAAGCTTAAGCAAGCATATCAATTTAGAATCAGTGCGAGACCTTGATCTGCTTGAAAGGGAAAACACTAATATGTTTTTGTGTCTACTTCCGGGCGTATACAGAGAGTTTAAGTCAATAGCCACCAATAACACAGATCTTTTGCGAGTTGCACTTCGCTGCATAGATGCTAAAAATGTCCGCGATATCATATACTCGGAAGCCCAAGGAAAGCATTGATTGTATTAGAGAAAGTCTTGAGTTTGAGACCTACGAACAGTTTTGCCTATGGCAAATTGTTCAAGCTCATGATGTGCCATTAAAAAGTATTCAGGTGAATAATTTGACCGATTCAATTACCTTCTTAATTATTAAGTTGGGCTGTTTCTTTAGGACCTACTACCAGAACTGGAAGCTGGAAGTCACCCCGAAGCATTAAGTCACTTTCTATTGTTGTTAAAACATGAAGAACCAACGAATGAAATAATTCGATTAATGCTTAGCAGAGAAGCAAAGTCAAGGGGTGATCCCTTCGTAACCTCTTCATTAAGGTAAATGAAACCCAGTTTTATTTGTGGACTATTTTACACGAGCCTTAAATATTTTTAAATGGAATGTGGATATGGGCGATCAAGTTAAAAAAAAAAAACTGCGATTTCAACCAAAATATTTCCCCACCACTCAACCTGAAATAAAACCAATAGAAAAGGGCGCAAGATTTGGCAAGCAGAGGCCTCTTCACCCTTGCAGTCATCACAAATCTAAAGATTCCTAGTTTGGTCGAATTTTTCATTAATTTTTTCATTTCTCTGGCAGTTATATTATATAATGGTCCGATATTAATTAGTAACATGCATATGTCCGATATTAATTAGTAACATGCATATTATCGTAAAAAAATTCCGTACATCCATGATTCTTGGCAGATAGTGATTAAATTTTAAAACAAAGAAGCTAGCTTCGGCGTCAGATTTGAACGGCAGACGAACCGAAAATCTCCCGGACTACAGTCTTTGAGTATTCTTCTCAAAGTGTTGTTTAAAAAGTTGCTGCTCAGGAGTATGGACTTTAGCCTTAGGCGGCAAGTCCTCCACAAACCAAAATTTCTGCAGGGTTGTGTCGATTGACTCCACCGCTTCTTCTTGACAGTTGAGATGTACCGAATTTTCTGCTTTAATTTTGTTTTCAGACGCACATCTCCCTGACACTATCCAGCCGAGAACAATTTTTTGCAAGATGCGAAGTTCAGGCCACTGCTTTATCTGGCAATGTGTGGTGTGAAGATTTGCACACCCTGCACCTGTTCGATCTGCATTTTTTAACGGTGTGACCCTTGCGAAGGCAGTTGATGCATAAGGACACTTTTCTGGCAAAATCGAACCTCTGCTGTACAGATAGGGCTGCGAAAGAAGCGCAGATTCCTATTTGATGCTCTGCTGATGAGCAAAACACACAAAGAGAAGGGTCGTCCCTGGCAGCGATTCGCTCCAAAGCGGAAGCGAAGTATAGTCCAACTGTTCTTCCCACTTTCTCTTTGTTCCTGCATCGACTTTGCTCATTATTAAATGAATGAAGATGGCATTCGTAATTCGTTTGACATCCCCAATAGACAGCAAAGAGTCATAAAGAGCTCTGACTGTGTCGATCAGGTTTCTCAAGGCTGTAGCTGATGGCTGGGACATAAGCGGAAAATGATGCACTGACCGATATCTAAGGGCAACGAATATATAAGCGGGATGCGCAGAAGCGCGGGAAATGCGCCAAGGCTTGGGAAAATGGAGGAAAAGCGCGGAAAATTTAGGAATGAAAATGCGCGCACAACTTTTTGCAGTGATTTTCTTTGCACAATAGGTTAAATTTCCGGCCGTAATTTTCAACCCTAAATTGGTGCTCACTACGACATAATTTTTTTTTTTTTTTACGTGCGTAGTCCCACGGCCCACTTACCCGCCAAACCGACCGAGGGGCGACCGCCGTGTATCGTACGGCACGATTCGCGATAATTTTGACGCGATTTTTAAAAAAAAAAAAATTAAGGAAAGAAAAGTTAAGTTAAGTTAAATTTTATTTTAATTTTAAATTTAAAATAAAATACGACGCGCGTGTCCCACGGCCACATCTCCCGCCCAACCGACCGAGGGGCGCTGCCGTGTATCACACGGCTCGGTTCGCGAGAAAAGAGTCGCGACTATAGAAAAATAAGAAAAAGGACGAGGAAAATGAGGAGGAACACAATAAGATCTAATTATGAGCTAAAAAAGTCAGAAGAGATCGCTTTAAGAGCGGCAGAGAGTCAGAAATTGATATAATAGGATAAAGTCTATTATAGTCAGAACACAATACTCTGTAGGGATCATGCAGTTCATAGTTAGATCTACATTGATTTAAAATCAGGGGGATGTAATTTCTGGTTAATCTACTTGAAACAGAAAAGTTTAACCTGCTAACTAAGTCGGGGCTATCAATTTTACCACAAATAAGATTAAACATAAAAACTGTTCCAAGCATCGTTCTACGATTGGCTAGGGATGGTAAGTTAATTATAAGTAGTCTGCTAGAATAGGAAGGCAATAAGAGGTTTGCATCCCAATTTAGGCGCCGTAGGGCAAAAAGTAAAAAATTTTTTTGGACCGATTCAATACGATCCGAATGAACTCCATATTGGGGACTCCAAACCGGTGATCCATATTCAAGAATTGGACGGACAAGCGAAATAAATAAATTTTTAGTTATGTAAGGGTCGTCAAATTCCTTTGACCACCTTTTTAAAAATCCAAGCACACTCCTGGCTTTATTTACCATAGACGAAATATGGATAGAAAATTTTAATTCCAGAAGAACACCAAGGTCATCCACCTGAGTTATTCTGTCCGAAGAGCATCCACTTAAAGTCTAAGCCCCCCGTATCGGGTCAGTTCGACAAAAGGTCATAAGCTTACACTTTGAGCCGTTTAAGTTGAGTATGTTATCACTGCACCAATTTTGAAAGCTATCTAGATCGGATTGTAAATTCGAACGGCAAGAAATGTCCTTATACTGCAAGCACAATTTAACATCATCTGCGTACATAAGTACACGTGAGTGAGTTATTACTAATGGAAGGTCATTAATAAATAAGGTAAATAGTAGCGGGCCAAGGTGGCTCCCTTGAGGGACGCCGGAGGTGACTCGGAGAACACAAGAAAGTGAATTCTTAAAAAGGACCCTTTGTGTCCTGCCATTCAGATAACTTAAGATCCTTTCTAGAAGATCAACTGGGAAACCTAATAAGTCAAGTTTCCTTATAAGAAGTGAATGATTTACAGAGTCAAATGCTTTACTAAAGTCAGTGTAGATGACATCTGTTTGAAAATTGTGTTTAAAACCCAGGGGCGTAGCGTGCCTTGTCGGGGCCCCGTATAAAAAATTTTTGGAGGCCCTTATATGGAGGTAAAGATTTTTCACAAAAGAAAACAAGAAAGGAAGCTTGCTTCGGCAAACCGAAGCTTTTATACCCTTACACTCATCCAATTTGTCGAAAAAAATACATAAAGGCTAAACAACATCGAAGCTAAGACGATTTTTCTATTAATTTTCTATATTTTCGACTATTGTTCAAAAACGGCTATATGATATTCTCGTCCGATTTTGATTAAATTGAATTCGGTATTCAAGAGTCGTTAGAACACTCTTTATTCCAAAAACCATGCTTGTCTGATGAAAAAGAACGATGTTATAATTTTATTTCCGTTATTTCTATATAGATTTTTCGATCTTTCCTATGGCAGCTATAAGATATAGTTGTCCGATTTTTATGAAACTTTTTTCTCAATATAAGAGTTTTTAAAAACTTGATATTCAAAAAATCATGCTCCTGGGATAAAAAACAACGATGTTATTAATTTATTTCCATTAATTCCATATATATTTTTCGATCTCTCCTAAGGCAGCTACATGATAGAGTTATCCGATTTTGATCAAATTTAATCCAAAATTCAATAACAGTTAGAAAACGCCATCTTGAAGAAATCAAGTCGATCTGATCAAAAACAATGGTCTGAGAATTTTTTATTTCATTCTCGCGTATGGGAGCTATCCGATATAGTCGGGCGATCCGGCCCGTTCCGACTTATATACTGCATGCAATAACTACACACCTTTTGGGAAAGTTTCATCAAGATAGCTTTAAAACTGAAAGACTAGTTTTCGCGGAAACGGACAGACGGACAGACGTATTCTGATTCTACTCGTGATGCTGATCAATAATATATATACTTTTTGGGGTCTGAGGTGTCTCCTTCACTGCGTTGCAAACTTCTGACTGAAATTATAATTCCCTTTTGCTCTGCAAGGTCATAAAAATCAAATTTTAAATATTCACTCTTACACACTTTGGGGGCCCCCGTGGCCCGGGGGGCTCCGTATAATTGATACGGCTGATACAGCGGTAGCTACGCCCCTGTTAAAACCCCTAATCACGAATGAAGTAAACTCCAAGAGATTAGGGGTTGTTGATCTTTGTTTTATAAAACCGTGTTGACACGGTAAAATTATTGACCTACACAGGTGCTGCAAGTGAGGGGTGATAACTTTTTCAAAAAGCTTAGGAATGGCAGACAATCTATAATTGCTTGCATCCGATTTGTTACCTTTTTTGTGAAGAGGAATGACAAAAGACTCCTTCCACATATGGGGAAACTGTGACGTTTCCAAAGAGAGGGTAAACAATTTGAGAAGCGGCTTGCACAAGGCACACAGCAAGGAATTCCATCGGGGCCTGGCGAATATGCAGGCTTAACACGCTGAAGATCGCAAAGTAGGGAGCTCTCGCTTAACGTGGGACAGAATATTAAATTCGACTTGGATACAGCATAAGAATAGGGCTGATCATAGTGAGGTAAGTGAGGTGAGTATGTTGTTTGAAAAAACTGGGCAAATAAATCGGCTATTGCCTGATCCGATGTTGCCGTAGTATTTTCAAATGATAACGAGGAAGGGAAAGAAGATGTTTTACGCTTAGTATTAACGAAATTATAAAACTGTTTCGGATCCTGCGCAAACTGGACCTTGCAAGGGTTTAAATAGTTTTTGTAATACTGAGCATTAAGCACGGTAAAATTTGACCAAGCTTTTAAATATTTTGAAAAGATAGATTGAGAACCGGTGTCTTTAAATTTCCTATAAAGTCTGGATTTTACATTTCTTAAGTGTGTCAACTCTTTATTGAACCAAGGAGGTTTGCTAGAGATAGACGGATAGTATTTCGCAACACAAGAATTAAAAAAAGTCTGGATTTCAGTGTAAAATATATTTATGGCATCCGCCATATTATTGCAAGTGTAAAGATCGGACCAATTATAGCAAGATATTAATTTTCTTAGCCTCAAAAAGTCTGCCTTGCGAAAACAGTTAATTCGTTTAGCAGACTTGGCAGATTGCTCTTTTTTTATGGTACCTGTTGTTTAATTGGTGGAATTAATTTGCACTTATTGGTTCAACGACAAATATTTAATTTTAAAGGTCCAAAGCGATTCACTTTTATTCAATATTTGTTACAATATAAAATATATGG